GAGGGAACAGTTGGAGGAGGAGGAGGAGGAGGAGGAGGAGGAGGAGCGTACCTAGGAAGGTCTCATCCTCCATTCTAGCACCTGCTGCCACTCTGCGGCCTCATCTGCTGATCCTCGACACTTCAACCGAGAGCAGAGGGGCAAAATAAATCACCTAACACCTGGGAGAACAAACCAACACCATGAGAACCTTGAGGGGGGCTGGCGCCTCGGCTCCTGTGCCTCGACACTTAAACCGAGGGGGGAAGGGATAAACAGATCTCATGGTTCCTTGGAGAACGCAACGAATGCAGGAAAACCATCTACGATCCTGCGTGCACGAGCACGTGTGACGCTGCTACTATACCTCACGGCAGCACGGCTCGCTTCATCATCGGAGAACGGCAACCTGCGCCTCGGAGACGGACTCGGCGAAGCAGCCGCGAGAGCCCCCGAACACGCAGCCCCGCACTCCCCTGTTACTGGATTAAGGCTATCCCTACAGCTTATGACGAGAGCAGCCTGGCCAGAGGCTTCGGGGGGCACCGTGGGGCTCCAGCTGGGCACAACCTCAGACGGCATCAGAACACTCGAGGGCTCACTCAGGACAGCCTCAGACTCCTCAGGACCATCCGCAACCCCAGACAATGAGCACGGCCTACGCATCTGAGTCGCTGACGAAATAGAGGAAGAAGGCGAGCTCGAAGAAGAGGACGAGCTCGGGACCTCCACGTCACTAGCCAGTGGGCCAGAGTGACCGTCTGCAGGGAGATCAGCACGCGCCTCAAGCACAATGCGAGCAAGCACCCGACGACGGACATGGTCCAACTGACGGCCACGAAATAGAAGACGCATCGCCAGTCAAGCCGGCGCCACTAAAGCCAACGCTTGGGTATATGACTTGTCAACACCAGCCTTGTGGTCCATAAGGCGGACATGATGACATATAGCCATGAACGGGGCCTTTCAATCCGATGCGCCAGGCGATATGAGCGGGGATGTCGAATCAGAGAACGAATGCAGCAAAATGATGACAACGAGCGCAGTCCAAGACGTAGCGGCGTACTGCATCGGGGCACCCGACGCATCCATACACGCAGCTGCCCTCACGCTGCATACGGCGTTGTGTAATCCATCCTCCGCACCAAGTTCGAATCACCGATGTGGCCCGCTAGGAGGTAAGGCATTCAGAGCAATGCGCGCCGTTGCGTACAATTCATGAGAGATCGCAAGCCCAAAATGTCTTAGGAGGCGCACCTGCAGACGATGGAGCAGCGCCTCGGGGAAAACCAAGGGGAGCACGAGCGAGTAAAAGGCCGACTGCCCCTTGAGACGTTTGCCATACGCTGAGGTCGGGAAGATGGCACCCGCAACCGCACTGGGCTCTCCAGGAAGGCCTCGCTCCTGCCTCTGCACATGCCTCGAACCTCTCGGCTCAGGGATTCAGGTAGATCCGACTGGCAAATGTCTCAAACCTCTCGACTCGGAGACTAAGGTAGATCCGACTGGCAGATGCCTCAAAACTCCTGACCCAGACGATGCAGTAGATCCGACATTGCCCATTCCGTCAGGCTCTCGTCGCACCTCGTCCCTCGCCGAAGTGATTGCCGCAATGGCACGAGGGACGCCGTCGGGGAAGAGCGAAACAATACTGGGGAGCGAAGTGTCCCCGGAAGAAGCGAAGCGCAAGGTCTCCAGCACGAGCAAGCTTGGCATGCCCAGGAAAGCCACACGCAGCACGTTTAAGACGCAAAGCTAACGGGTCGTCCTGCCACAACGATGGAGCCATGAGAAAGCCATCCCATGGGAGGAGGAGGAGGAGGAGGAGGAGGAGGAGGAGGAGGAGGAGGAGGGCTCAGGAGCGCAAAAAGGACGTACACGTACACGGACCCACTTTGGCTTCGAAAGCACGCCTTGCGCGAACATCTGCGGAGCTGGGCGCCCTGGCGCGAACGGCCGAACGACCCATGCAGCGGGACGCTCTGGCAGCACGGCTGCCGCTGCAAAAACCGTCGGTTCGGCCGCCGAGAGAGCCTCGGCCCTCGCCAGACCTCGAGGGCCCGGGGAGGGCGCCGCCCCCTGCGCGGCGCCGCTGGGCGGCGCTGCATTTCTCGGGGGAGCTGGCGGGGCCCCCAGAAGTCTCCCCGAGCCGCCAAATACGACGAAGAAGCCAGGGCGAGGGAGGAGACGTTCGGGTGGGGATACAGCCAGACCGTACAGCAAGGACGCACGATAAGGATGCAAGGGCCCTGGAAGGCCGTGCACTTTGCGAGCGGGGCGCGGCCAGCGAAAACAGCTAGGGATGGGCCAAGAGGGAAGGATGCAAGAGTAACCTTGGAAAAGTGTTCATCCTTACTACGCGGGTTGACTGTACATCTGAGAGGTCGAGGGCTTGCAAGGTTCTTACATTGGCCCGCACCTCCAGTCTCCCAGGCGTCCGGCGCTTAAAGGCGGCCTGCAATATCGCCCCAAGACGGCCAAGAGGGTGTCCAGGCGGCCAAAGAGGGACCCAAGCCAGACC